GACTACTCTATTGCTAATAAATGCTATTTATAGTAATAAGAACTAATAGATATAATAGATATAATATATATAATAGAAATAATAGATTTCTGGCACAGTAATTGGCACAGTAATGTACAGTAATGCACAGTAATGCACAATAATTAGCACAGTAATTGGCACAGTAATGCACAGTAATTGGCACAGTAATTGGCACATTAATGCACAGTAATTTGGGCCAATCAGATTTAAGTCATATGTTTGATAAAATTGCCAATTTCACAAATTTTTGTCGATCTTAGGATCCAGTGATCAGAATCACATGATTTTGTGCTCTTTAGAACCGACTTGGTGAGCTGAATCCAATGGTGGTTGTTTCATCCAAATTGGTTTGGTACATCAAATGTTATGGTCAAAAATGTGTAAAACTCTTAATGTCAACACTACAGAACTAAGAAGAGAAAAATAAAAATTTTCAAAACTTTAAATCAAAATATCTTGATAATCACCTGACCAAAATTGATGAATTTTTTTATTTGAATTCTATGAATCCATAGAAATTAAATAAAAAAATTTTTCAAATTTGTCAACATTAGAGAAAAATCTAATTACTTATCAAAATAAAAGCTGTACTAAATTATTTTAAATGTTTAAGTGAAGATATCTCTATAACCACCTAACCAAATTCTATAAAATATTTTTTATTTAAATTTTATAATTCACAGAATTCAAATAAAAAAGATTTTATCAGACTTGGTCAGGTGGTTATAGAGTTATCTTTACTCAAAGTTATAGAAAAATCAACCCACCTATTAAAAATACAAATTGTGCTAATTTTTTTGAAAGTTTGAATGAAGATATCTTCACAGCCACCTGATTAAATCTGATAAAATTTATTTATTTAAATTTTATAAATCTTAGAATTTCAAATAAAAAAAGTTTTATCAGGTTTGGCCAGGTGGTTGTGAAGATATCTTCACTCGAACTTCTAAAAAAATTGGCACTACTTTTATTTTTGATAGGCAGGTTGATTTTTCTTTAACTTTGAGCAAAGATATCTCACAATTATCTGACAAAATTCTATGGAATTTTTTTTATTTGAATTCTATGAATCCACAGAATTTAAATAAAAAAGATTTTAGTGAATTTGGTCAGATGGTTATGGAAATATCTTCACTCAAAATTAGAAAAAAATTAACACACTTATCAAAAATAAAAGCTGCTCAAATTTTTTTAAAAGTTTAAGTGAGGAGATCTTTATAACTCCTGACCAAATTCTATAAAATTTTTTTATTTTGATTCTAAAATTTATAGAATTCAAATAAAAAAATTTCATAGAATTTGGCCAAATAGTTATAAAGATATATTTATTTAAACATTTAAAATAACTTGGTACAATTTCTATTTTTGATAGTGTTATGGGTAGATTCGACCCTAGGACCTTGAGGAAACATTGCGTAATGACCCATGATCTGCATCACGAAAACTGTTGTACCACGATACCTGTGACCCAAGACAAATCAAGCTCTTCATTAAGTAACGGCACCAATCCATTGAAGAAAAAACCACTTGCCCAATTTGGAATCCAACTGTCAAGGTAATATTACTTTGACAGGAAAAGTCTGTGGCCATGTCAATGCATCATCATATGTTGGATTGTATGCCATTGTGAGATGATGCTAAAGTAATGACAGATGAATTATAAGAAAAAAGGAAAAGTGTTAGTAAAAAAGGGAAAAACAGTCTATGACAATGAGAAAAAGTGTGTCAAAGCCATGTTCCAAGTTCCACCTTTTCCCCCTCAAAAATGTTTATAAAGTGTGCCTCTTCACCCTATAGATGCGATATACATGAGATATAGTACCTTTCTGCCTCTAAAAACCCGAATCACCTTGTAAACTTGTAACCTGCCCTATAATAAAAAAAATAATAAAGTTTTTAATTAATAAACTACTAAACTGTCAAAATAAAGTAATTAATTAAAATAAACTATTACACTTCTTTAAAGTATCCCCTGGTAATGTTCCCAAGGCTGCCATAGACCAGTGCCAAATCGAATCTGCCTCACCTGCCTTGAGCAACATTATGTGATGTTGATGAATTCGAAGTGACAATTCGTCACATTCCTTCTTGTCCCTATAGTGCCATTCCCGACCCTGTACCCTGTATTAATAGGTAGTTTGGTTTTTCTATAACTTTGAGCAAAGATATCTCACAATCACCTAACCAAGTTTGATAAAATCTTTTTCATTTAAATTCTGTAAATTTATAGAATTCAATAAAGAAATTTCCATTAAATTTGACAGATGGTTGTAGAGATTTCTTTGTTTAATTTTTTTTTAAAAAATTGGCATAGCTTCAATTTTTAATAAGCAATTTAATTTTTTTCTAACTTTGAGTAAAGGTATCACCATTACTATTTGATCAAGTTTGGAAATTGTTTTTTATTTGAATTCTATAAATTATAAAATTTAAAAAAAAGATTTTTAGAATTTAGTCAGATAGTTACCAAGATATTTTGATTTAAAAGTTTGAAAATTTTTATTTTTTTTCTTAATATATGATTATGGTTTCTGACCTACTAAATTCAAAGTTTTAATGAATATTTCTTAATAACTATTGTTTTATTTTTAAAAAAATCAACATTTAGATGAATAAGATTAAAATTAAGAATGCATTTAAGGATTTTTTTATAGTATTAAAATAGATAAATAAAAAAAAAATTTCTGAATTAAGTATAAATATATATATATATGTTTTTGCATATTGCATATATTAATTATATAGTTGTACAAAATGGCTAAAGTAAGCAAATAAATATTACTATATTTGGATTTATTAAGACCAGCCAAATTTAGTAAAATGGTCAATTTGGCTGATGATCACATTATTTTATTTATTAAATTATTGTAAATTGTGTTATATATATATATAAACAGTTGCTTTTAACCTTTTTGATTCTATCATAAAAAAAATTTATTATCAACAAAAAAAAATATTTTAAGAACCAAAGTATAAAAAAAAAAAAACTTTAAATAAGCAAAAATGTCAACCTCAAACAAAGCTACCAATGTTGCTATTGTCAGTAGAACTGAAACCTGCACCTACTATAGAAAGCTTAAGCCTATTGCTAAATTTATAAGAATGAGTGAAAGTAGAATGGCAGTTAATGCCTTATATAATTTCTGTTCTGATTAAGATAAGAGATATCAAGCAAATAAAAAAGCCTAGTAATAAAAGTACTTAACCACTTATCTTAAATTATGATATTCAACTATCATCTTTAGATAAAAATATTTAATTATCACTCTTAAATAAAGATGATTCTGTAGATTTAGATAATATTGAAAATAGCAGTAATGACTTTCTTTATAATATCTATGATATTGAAGAGCTTATCAATATTAAATTTGGAGATAGTAAAGAAAAAGATAAACTGCTTAAATTCTCTATAATATTAAAACTTGAAAGAAAATTAGTTTATAAAGAAATAATGTCTTTAGAGGCTGATCAACATGAAGATGCAGAATTTCATAAAGTTATTAACATATTACTCTTACCTCTTAAAGCAGGAACAGGATATTATTGGGAGCTCTGTAACTTATATATAAATAAAAAAATAATCAATCTATGAAATATGTGACAGCTCATTTAGGATGCATTCAAAGGATCAATTATCAAAATAAACACCAAGAAATTGGTCAATAAAGTGAGTTAAAGAAGTGCCCACTATTGAATATTATCTATGTGATTGTAATATAGTAGTTAAGATCAATTTGTGTGAACAGGATGCTAAGATAAATTATAAGCATCTGATAACCCAACATCCTACATGTAGAAAAATAAATTTGCTTAAAAAATGCTATAGAATAGATGCATTAGCATCTAAATCCAAAATTGTGAAAAATAGAAATTTATCAATAACTTTGTAATAAAAATTTAATTAACCTATCACTACATACTTACCAACAAGTATATTACTGGATGCATAATTTTCTACAAAGTTGTACATTATTACATAGAAAATTAATTAAAATCCTCAATGAATTTTCTTGAACAAAGTGAGTTGATAAATGCAAGATATAAAGTCATTTGTTATCAAGATAATAATTTTGTACATTTACTTGGATTTGTTACTCCATTACTTAGAATTATAAAAAATAATAATATTAGAAAATCGTTATTGATTTAATATTTAAAACAAATCATAAAAAGTTTGATCTTTTTGCAATAAATATAAATTATGGTAGATACAGTGTTTCTCTTGCATATTTATACTTAGAAATATATGTAGTATCAAAAAAGCATTCTTCAAATTTTAATAATATTGTGCATTCTCATATTGGTGCTCTTATTGAATTTTTTATTAGATTGCATAATGAAGGCATTCTACTAGCATTTGTTCTTTTTAATAAAGATTCTGAGGAAATTAATGCTATTTAGAAAGCTTGACCCAAATCAATAATTCAGCTTTGTCTTTGATATGTAAAACATGCAATTGAGCATAATCTAAAAGAAAAAAAAATTAAAAAATGTCAGTATACAATACAAAAAGCACAAGAAGCATATTTTGAATTTGATTTCATAAATCCAAATTGACTTCTTATAAAGCAACAAGATAAAATATGTCCTAAAGAATTGATAAGTGAATTATTAGAAATAGTTAAAAAACATGCATTAATGCACTTATTTATTTCAATAGAACTAAATCTTTTTCTTATCAAGAAAAAAATTAGATCTTAATATGTATTTAAAATTTACCAATTCAATTTTTAAAAAAATTTTCATAACTTATAAGGATATTTGTAGGTAAATTAGTATAAATTAAAAGATTGAAATTTATTTGCATAGGCAGCTTATTCAAAAGCATTACTAATTGCTAAAACAACTATGATTACAGAATCGTATTGGCATGTCTTTAAATATAACTATAAATATAATTATAATTAGCTATGTCTAGATTATCTTATACAAATACTTACTAAAAAACTAGTTTCAGATATGGAAAATACTTGGTGAAGATTTTATTATAATTAAAACTTCCCATCATAATAGAATGCATTTAAGAATGAGTAGAAATCTAATATGAAAAAAAACATAAGTACAATTTATAATTATTATACTAATATAGATAATTGGACTTGCTTTTGCTCTGTCTTTCTTTTTAGTATCTCCATATGTGCAAACATTTGGTGCAAAAATATTTCATAGAAAACTTAGCCTTTTTTCCAAAGTTTCATTTTATGATACATTGCTATGATTACTTATTTATTGTCTTTGAAAAAGTAAATATCCTAAGAATTAATTTAAATAATAGCCTATGAAATAATGCTTTACAGAATAATATTTCACAAGATAATATTTCACAGAACAATATTTTACAAAACAATGTTTTAGAATCTAGTATTAAACCAGAAGCATCAAGTAGCTATAGTGCAATCACTGAATGCCATGCTGTTATTGAGAGTAAAAAAGCTGAATTAGTCTCAAATTCAAAAATATTTGAAATATTAATAAAAATTATTAATAATAATATTGAAAACAACAAGCTTTACAAAGCATACATGACCCTTAAGCAGCCTCTTGTTGGTGAGACCAATACATGCAATGATGTGCTTAATTAAAAAAAACAGCAAAAAATCTAAAAATTATAAAGAAATAAAAAATTAGCTTTTTGGCTACAATAAACAAATTGTAGTAAGAACTTTTAATATATCTACTGTATATAATAGGACTGCTAAAGAATATAAACCTTCATTATGTAGCAAAATGTAGTAGTTTTAGTTAAAATTTTTTCATGAAATTATCAATATTCTTATTTATCTTAGCATTCTTAAATTTGATCCCATTATATATATATATATTATTTTTTTGGTATTAAGGTAAGGCCTTGCTCATATCTTTATTAGTAGTTTTTAAGGTTAGTAACTTTATAAAGTTACTATGTACAAAAATAATTCTATATAAATACTATGACTGAGGCTATCACTTGCAGTTAGAGCTAACCATTAAACTGCTAACTATATATAATTAACTTAAGTACAAATAAGAAGAAAACTATATTCAAAAGTGAAGCTCAAATATATTTATCTGTGACCTAAATTTACTAAAGTAGTCAAGACTCATCTAGATTTGGATAGTAAAATATAGTTAAATGAAATATTGTATTTAATCTAGAGAATAGTCTATATGTTGATTTTTTTAATAGCATAGCCAAGAGATGGGCATGTATTGGAGTTTGAGTATACTTGGTCAGGTAGTCTATATATACATGAGTATGTATATATTTGACAGTTGTAGTTAGTTTGTCTATTATGATTAGTTTGAGTTAAATATTTGGAAAAAGAAGGTTTAAGATTTTGTTGTTTTTTCCAATTTGAAAAGTTTATACAATATGGATTTTAGAATAGTTCATAGCATAGCTCATTAATTTCAAATAGTATTTTAATAACCATTTGTAATACTAATTTGTAAGAAATGTTAAGTTTTGAATTATTTGAATTAGAGGTTTGAGTATGAGTTCTTTAAAAATAATATTAAGATAGAATAAGTTTTCATTGAATGGTATCTGATAGAAGGTTTTATAGTTTTGAATTTTTTTAATAAGTCCTTCTTGTTGAGGTTTGAAGAGATTTAGTTTGCTTTGGTTAATATGTTTAGAGATAGTATCTTGAATAATACTAGTAACTAGTATTGGATTAGAACATGTTCACCAATATATTAAGGAGTCAGGTAAGTTGCAGTAAAAGCAGTTTATATTATAGAAAGTATGTGAATATATTTTATGATATAGAAAATGTATATGTAGTTCATTTAGTAGAGTTTTGATTTTAAAAGATTTGAAATGATTAAGTTTGAAGTTGGTTATATTATGCATTAGTTTTTGGTTATAATTGAAGTATAGCCAGGTGGATCTCTAATTTATTTCTAAAATAAGTTAGTTCCATTCTTGGTTCTATTTTTGGGATAATCACATTGCCAGAATATAGGCTTTGTAAATGTTTTTGATAAATGTTTTTGTAAGGTATTCTATAAAATATTGATCCCAGAATAGCATGTGGTATAGGTTGTAGGTATTAGTATAATTGAAATATAATTCTGAAGAAAGATTATGTTGCTTAGCAAAAGAGTTAGCAAGATTGTTCAGATTATTATCAGTATAAGTTTGTACTTTATAGAAGTTGATTTAAAGGTTGTAAGATTTAATGATATTGCCATATAGGCCATGTATTGAATTTAAAAAGTTTATTAGAATTAAAAAGTGTAGTATAGATGTTGGTATATTTAGTAATGATAGATTGAGAATCTGTAAAAATATTGAATATTGCATTTCAGGGTGTAGTAGAAATAGCTAAAAGAATAGCTATCAGTTCTGCTTTGTAAGATGATGGCCAGAAGTTAATTTTAACAGAAAATTTGTGAATAATTTGATTATTATTATTGATATGGACCTAGCCAATGCACATTGTATATTGGTTAGTTCCAATATTAATTACTAAACTATTAGCATAAAAGTTAAGTTGTTGTTGAGAACTATTAAGAATTAAATATTGTTTAAGTATGTTTGCTGCTTCACTAGTTTTAAATATTTCAAAAACATAAGAGTTGAAATTGAAATTGTTGTTACTGGAAAAATTGATAATAGATGTTTAATAGCTGTTAAATGAATAAGGTTAATATAGTTGACATTGAAGTTTAATAAATTAGAATTGACTCTTCTTAGAAATTGGGAAGAGATAATTGCTGATACATTAATTGTACATAAATTCTAAATTTTGATGAAGTTTTGATGACAGTCTAGACAAGGTAAGCTTTGGGTTAATAAAAGATAATAGTAGCCAGAGTGATTTATATCAATGTTTGTTTGCCAGTATGTAATAGATATTTGATTAGTATTTTTAAAATGTCTGTAGATTTTGCCAATAATAATTTCATTATCAGTATATGTATGTAACTAGAATTTAGATTTTTTAGAGATAAGTTGCGAACTGTATATAAATGTATTGTATCTTAGTTATTGGTAGTGTGGAAGAAGAATTCTGAAGCTGGTCATACATGTATAAAGATATTAAAAACTATGTTCAAATATGTAATACCTGTCAAAAAAAAAAATAATACTGAATACCTGAACCTTTTTAACCAATTCCTATAAAAGCATTTTTTTATTGAATTGGCATAGATTTTATTGGACTCTTACCTACTACTGCTTAACAAAACAAGTATATTATAGTTGTTACAGACTATATGACAAAATGGCTAGAATCAAAAGCTATACCTAAATCTATTTCAAAAATACAGTAGATTTTATCTATGAAGATATTATCTGTTAACATGAATGTTTTACATACTTGTAATTAGATAGAGGAACATATTTTAATAATAAGCTAATAAAAATATTCACTCAAAAATTTGAAATCCAACATTTATTCTCTACTTTTTATCATTTACAAACTAATGAATTAGTTAAAAAATTCAATCAAACATTATATGAATCTTTAGCAAAATTAACTGACCAAGACAAAGATTAAAATATCTTTATTTTATCTATTTTATTTGCTTATCAAACTGCCAAACAATCTACTACCAAGTTTATATCTTTCTACCTTATTTATAGAAGAGAAACAAAATTTCCAAATTTTGATATTGATAACCTATTAGAAAAAAATATTCTACTTAATTATTTTCCTTAATTAAAGAATTATCTAAAGCACAAGAGAA